GGACTTTGTCTCACAGAGCAGCTTCTGGGAAGAGTTTATTGTCCTTAGGCCAGGGTCACCTTCTGGCCTGTCTTCTGGTCTTTGTGGGAGAGAAGCTGGATCGACATGACACTGTACATTTGAAGTTCTGCTTATTTCCTGTGCCAGTATCGACCGAGCCCTGCAGTGTGTTGGGCACAATGCTAGGCACTGGGACGCCACCATACAGAAACTTGGGTGTCCTGCTGTGTTCAGTGAGCTGATGTCAGGGGAAAAGGGAATCAGACAAGTCAAAGGGAGCCGACTGAATTCCAACGAGTGATGAGAAGCTGAAGAGGTAGAAATTTGGAGGGGCAGAGGCTCATCTCCCGCAGGGATTAGGAGAAGGTTCCTGGATGAGATGCCTGAAAAAAAGAGCAGTGCTTGGGAAGGGGAAGGTGGGAAGGGAGGGAGAGAAAAGCAGATGGGCAGGTGGGATGTATGTTGTGGGAATGTGGAGGTGTCTGGAATGGGAGCAGGAGCTGATGAAGAGGGTGGGGAAGGTGGCTGGGAAGGGGGTTGGGACCAGCTGGCGCAGAGGTCTGAAAGTGATTAGCCTTTTGGGTGGGAGATACTTAAGATATTTTGAGCAAGGGTGTGATGAGTTCAAGATTGGGCTGTTGAGAGATGGCTAGCACCAAGCCTGGTCCATGTAAAGTGCTAGAAGCATGTTTGCACAGGGGGAGGGTGGACAGGAGATGGGGAGAGCTAATTATGACCTGTGCCTGTCATGCTTCTCAGCATCATTTGTGTCCGAATTCATTTACTGCTCACAACTCCCCCCAACAGACAGATATTATTGTTAATATTATCCTCATGGTACAGAGGAAGAGGAGAAATTGGCCTACCCTATGCATGTGGGAGATGGGGGCCAGGGTGGACAGAAAGCAGCTATGGTTGCTGCTGATTGAGAATGGGGAGGGTAACTGTGTTGCTGGTGCCAGCGGGACAGCACATGGGCCCAGACCTGCTCTGAGTTCCACCCCCGCACAGCCAACTGTCTGCTTGATTTGCCCAGAGCCCCTCCATCTGGTATGTCCAAACTGAACTCCTGACCTTTGTCTCCTCCTCCCCACAGCCCGCTACTAAGCCAGGTCTTCCCCCTGTTGTCCACTCCAGTGAAGGCCATCGTTATCCAGCTGGGCATCCAAGCCAGTAGGCTGGGTGGCATCTTGGGTGCCTCACTCTCCTTGACCACCTACCCCACCTCCCAACCTCTGAATATCCCTCTAATCCATTAACTTCTCTCCCCATCCCCAGTCACCACCTAGTTCAAGCCGCCCTCATCCCTCATTTAGACGGCTGATCTCCTTCTTCCACTCTGCTCCAGGCAGCAGCCAGAGTCACCATTTAGAAAGGTCAGTCTGCTGCAGGACTTCCCCTGTCTCACACACCCTATCCTGAGTGGTATGGCCCCTGCTGACCCCTCTATGTCACCTAGCCCATGACCCCTCTGAGTCTCTCAGCTTCAACTGCAGAGACTTCTTTTAGATCCAGGTAGGCAGGTGTTTCTCCACTCATTCGTTCAGCAACCCACAATTCCTTCATTTACACCTGCTGGGTTTAGGGTGTTGAAGCAGACAGGCCTGGCCCAGTCCTCAGGGAGTTCACACTGAGGTGTGGAGGTAAAGTCACAAAATGAGTCCATTGGGTCTTAGCACATGTTGCTCCTCTGCCTGAAAAAGTTTTTCTTTAAACTTCCACTCATGCGGTGCTTGCTTGGGGCAACCTCTCCTGGATGGCCAGGCTGGACCAGGCGGCTTTTCTGCACAGTACTGACCTCAGTTGGCAAGGGCAGCTTGTTAGAATGCATGGCCGTCTCCCCCTTCGACTGTAAGCCTCACAGGGACAGGCCCTTGTCTGTCTTGTTCATAGTTGTCCTCCAGGGCCAGGCTAGTAGACCCTTGTCTGTAGAATG